TGCCTACTCCAGTAATTACTTCTAACTTAACATTTTATTCAACATAAATAACACAACCAATCATACTCCATTAACTAATCCAGACCCTTAAAATTGGGAAAAAGTATAATTTCAGCCTACATACCATATGATTTAAATAAAGTCAAACCACATGTTTTAAAGTAAACAAAGCAGACATTACATAGATTCCCATGCTATTTATATGTGAACTATTTTATTCCGTAAAAACGTTTTGGTGCATAATTAAGAAAAATGAATATTTTTCCCCAAAATTTCATGCCAAGACCTTTAAAATGAGACCTCTCCCAGCTTTCTACGGCCTCTCGTTCACTCATAATTTCATTGTAAAATTTTGGGCTTACGGAATTAGATATATAGATGATTGAATGATTGAATCACTTAATAAACAGCTGCTTATTTGAATTAGCAGAATCGAAAACAAGCTCGTAGTCGTTTTGAGAGGTTATTTTTAAATTTAAATATTTTTGTTTTTTAGCTTAGTTTGTTAATTAATGATAAAATATGACGAAAAATATAGTTACCACACGGGCAAAAATTGATTTTTTAACCGTCGATCATTTAAAAGCTCATGTAAAACTTGAGCTCGGGTCATAAAGAGTCAGTGAGACCCTAAGCTACGCGCGCACTACGGCGGCACGGCACGGACGGGCGGCACGGCACGGACGGACGGGACGGGACATCCGCACATCCGCAATTTAGGACAGTTGACAGTCTGCGAGCTAAAAATTGTGAGTAAAGATGGATGTAGATAAAGTGGTGATAGTAGGTTTAATTTTAGCAGAGGAAGAGGTGACAAGAAGGTGCAAGCAAAGATTTTGGATACACCACATAAACAGGAAAAGACTAAGTTTTGGAGAGTTCCACACCTTGTTTCCTGATCTTGTAGAAGGATTATGTGTAAAACTTGCCTGATTGTTTCATAATAGATCATATTTCTGCCCATATATTTTCACGCCGGACGTTATTAAAATATTCCGGATGTCGCATGTTGTACAGTTTGGGGGTTTTCTCAACGAGAAAAATCAACTTACTAACATCTATGTTTACAACACACGAAAACACTGCTACTTTGACAGAGATCAGTTGAGAATGGCGGATGTCCCGTGCCGCCCGCCCGGTCGGTGTGCAGTGCTCCCGGTCGGTACGGGCGGTACGGGCGTCACGGCAGCTCGGAAATGTCCTGGAGTTCTGTCTCCCGGACTTTTTAACAAACGGCGGAAGCTGCCGAATGTCCGTTGCCGGCCGTACCGCCGTAGTGGGCGCACTCATATAATGTTATTAACTTTTAAAAATTGCCGTGCCGCCCGCTCGTCCGTGCCGTGCCGCCGTAGTGCGCGCGCAGCTTAGTGATGAAATATGATATTTCCCTCAAGTCTTCATAGAGTTCCAACAATGAACAAGGAATTAATTAGCCACTCAAACCACTTAATTTATTTTACTTTTATGTACTTTTTGTAAGAATTTATTTCTTACTTTTAAAAAGAATCATGGGCGTGGTTGTAGGCCTATACCAAGTTGTTAACAACATTCCCTCAGTTAAATCTATAACAATAAAAATTCGGAATAAACGTCATAACCTAACTATGTCACCCATTAATCTAGATAATGTTTTTGATAATATCTCTCTGATGTTTTATGATTTATGTTTCCAAAGAAGATCACTTTAAGCTTCTCCGTTAAGAACCAATGTATGTACCCTCATAGAGGCTTTGGTTGAATAGGATTTTGCACAAGTAGTGCATTTATGAGGTCACTTTCCTGTATGAATCAATGTATGTTTCTTCATATATTCCTTGTATTTAAATGATTTTCCACATGTAGGGCACTGATGAGGTCGCTCGCTAGTATGGACTAACATATGTTTCTTCAAATGGCATTGGAATACGAAGGATTTTCCGCATGAAGTACATTTATAAAGACCTGTTCCGGTATGAGTATTTGTATGGGTCGTTAAATCGCGTTTGGTTCTGAATGCTTTTCCACACGTAGTGCATTTATGAGGTCGCATTCCGGTATGAATGAATGTATGTCTATAAAACATACTTTTGTAATTGAATTGTTTGCCACACGTAGCGCACTCATAGGGTCGCACACCTGTGTGAAATAACACATGTGTTATCAAATTGGTTTTCAAACGGAAGCTTTTGCCACATGTAATGCACGTATGAGTTAGTTCTTCGGCATGACATGCCATATGTTTCTTCAAATAGCTTTCAAAATGGTAGTTTTTGCCACATGAATTGCATGTATGAGTTCCCTCTTCGGTATGAATTAACATATGTCTCTTTAAATTGCTTTTATAATGGTACTTTTTGCCACATGAATTGCATGTATGAGTTCCCTCTTCGGTATGAATTAACATATGTCTCTTTAAATTGCTTTCACAAAGGTAGTTTTTGCCACACGAATTGCACGTATGAGTTCCCTCTCTTGTATGAATTAACACGTGTTTCTTCAAAAGTTCTTTATAAAGGTAGTTTTTGCCGCATATACTGCACCTATATGGTCGATTATCAGAGTGTATCAACAAATGTTTCTTTACATGATCTTTTACGACAAACCTTTTCTCACATTTCAAACATTTAAAGGGACGCTCCCCCGTATGTGTTAATATATGATTTTTCATTGCTGATAGAGATAACCAACTTTTTTTACATATTGGACACTCAAGAGGAAGCTTTAACATTTTAAATTCAGCACTCCCTGACTTTGTTGAACTGATTTTGTAACTACCGACTAAATAGGACGACTTACTAATAATAAGTCTTTGCATTTATACATAGATATACAGTACAAATGTTAGTAAGTTTAGTAGTTGCACTTGTCTCACACACTATCTAGTCTCTAGAGACGCCTTGAGCGATGGGGTTATGTACTTCATCAAATTTCATTACGTACATTACATATTTTACATTGCATTCCAGCGTTGTATTCGCTTTCTTGCGTCAAATCAAGGTCCTCGATATTTCCGGGATAATCTATTGTCACTTCTGAAAAAGATCATACTTCATTAGACATTTAAGGCTTTTACTCTTTCGTTTAGGTTATACAGTTATTACTATATTACTGTAATCAGTGACTTGAGAGAACAACATAATGATCTAGAATCAGGAATGTTCAAATTCACAGGGCCTAGTTCTTAAGCTCCTAGACAACCAACTAATCCCATTATGTTATAATAGGACACAGCAAACCTGCAAGACCTGCAACTTGTGCCACGCGGTCTAAGGTCTAAACACACCCTTTCCTTTTCACCCGCTTGAATGTGTGCATAAGTAATATTAATATGTTGACTTCGTAGTTAAAATTGTTAAATAGTAAAACATAAAATATAAGTTGAGACTGGATTTTCAATCAAATTGCTTAACAACTATTAGTAAAGGAATAACATGAAAATTAAGGGTAAAGTAAAGTAGTCAAGCAAGGTATAACTTTTAGATATGGATTTTTCTTACATATAGAGAATAACTCAAGAGTATTTTTCTCATTCTCAAAGTAAATGTCAAACACATTTCAAACAGCTTGACTAAATGGTCACAGAAGTAATTTTCTTACATATAATTGAATGACCCATACTTTGCATAGTTATCTAGAAAAGCCAAAATATTCTTGTGTGACATCAAATTTACAGGTCACAGGTTACATGTTATACTCCGTTCAAACAGCCGTGGCACTTGAGGGATTAGGAGGCCCCAAGGGTTTCCATGGGGTCTCCTAATCCTTCAGGTGCCACGGCTGTTTGAACGGAGTATAGAAAGGGCAATGTGCCGCTAACTTTACCAGTGTAAAAATATAATTTTTCATTTCATTTCACATCTAACATGAGCTCTCACACTACAAAAATTACAAAGTGATTATCATAATAATGGTTCCTAGGAATTTAGTGTATGTCCACAGATAATCTGTGATATATCTTAACAAAAAACCTAAACCAACAGTAAATTAGGTCAGAAAATGTGATTTTTTTAATGTTATTAATGAACGATAGTACAAACTTAAATTATATGCAAAAAATGTTTGCATAGCCTGTTACACAATAGAAAAGCAATAAAAACAAATTTTAGGTCATGGATATCGGACTCTTTAAAATATCTGGCGAGGCGCTGTGTGCTCTCGGCGCAGGCTGCATTCAGCGCTGACTGCACGGCACTGCCCAGCAGCACCGTCTTGATTTATCCGTTCTGTGTGATTTTCCTTTTTAGCTGTTTTACATTACTTTAAATAACTTTAATCTTTAAACAATTTTCACGTGAATGTCACTCTTGGGCTGCTTTTTTGGTATGAACCCATGTACGTCTCTGCATACCTACATAATTTTCACGTAAAGATTTTCCACACGTAACAGCAGCACACTTATAAGCTCTCGGGTATGAATTAATGTAGACTATGGTTCTTCATTTGTTGTCTGGATACAAAAGATTTTCCACATGAAGCACACTTATAAGGTCGCTCTCCGATATGAATCAATGTATGATTCTTCAAAAGACGTTTTAACATGAATGATTTTCACATGTAACGCACTTAAGGTCGCTCTCCGGTATGAATCAATGTATGACTCTTAAAATTACTTTTTAACGAGAATGATTTTCCACATGTGACGCACTTAAAAGGTCTCTCTCCGGTATGAATCATTGTATGATCCTTTAAAGGACGTTTTGACGAGAACGATTTTCCACATGTAACGCACTTAAAAGGTCGCTCTTCGGTATGAATCAATTTATGACTCTTCAAACTACTTTTAAACGAGAATGATTTTCCACATGTAACGCACTTAAAAGGTCTCTCTCCGGTATGAATCAATGTATGATCCTTTAAACTACTTTTTAACGAGAATGATTTTCCACATGTGACGCACTTAAAAGGTCGCTCTTCGTTATGAATCAATGTATGACTCTTCAATTGATGTTTTAACGAGAATGATTTTCCACATGAAGCACACTTAAAAGGTCGCTCTCCGGTATGAATCAATGTATGATCCTTTAAAAGACGTTTTTGCGAGAATGATTTTCCACATGAAGCACACTTAAAAGGTCTCTCTCCGGTATATGAATCAATGTATGATCCTTTAAAAGACGTTTTTGCGAGAATGATTTTCCACATGAAGCACACTTAAAAGGTCGCTCTCCGGTATGAATCGTTGTATGATCCTTCAAACTACTTTTTAACGAGAATGATTTTCCACATGTGACGCACTTAAAAGGTCGCTCTCCGATATGAATCAATGTATGATTCTTCAATTGATGTTTTAACGAGAATGATTTTCCACATGTAACGCACTTAAAAGGTCGCTCTCCGATATGAATCAATGTATGATCCTTTAAAAGACGTTTTTGCGAGAATGATTTTCCACATGAAGCACACTTAAAAGGTCGCTCTCCGGTATGAATCGTTGTATGATCCTTTAAAAGACGTTTTTGCGAGAATGATTTTCCACATGAAGCACACTTAAAAGGTCGCTCTCCGGTATGAATCGTTGTATGCTCCTCCATGTGTTGTCTGCGATCGAAAGATTTTCCACATGAAGCACACTTATAAGGTCGCTCTCCTGTATGGACGTGTGTATGTCTTATAATATTACTTTTGCAATTGAATCGTTTGCCACACGTAGCGCACTCATAGGGTCGCACACCTGTGTGAATTACCAAGTGTTTATTCAAATAGGTTTTGAAACGGAAGCTTTTGCCACATGTAATGCACGTATGAGTTTGTTCATCGGTATGAAATAACACATTATGTGTTATCAAACTGGTTTTCAAACGGAAGTTTTTACCACATGTATTACATGTATAAATTCGCTCTTCGGTATGACATGACATAATATGTTCCTTCAAAGTGCTTTCTAAACGGTAGTTTTTACCACATGTATTGCACGTATAAACTCGCCCTTCGGCATGACATGACATATGTTTCTTCAAATAGCTTTCAAAATGGTAGTTTTTGCCACATAAATTGCACGTATGATTTCCCTCTTCGGTATGAATTAACATGTGTTTCTTTAAATTGTTTTCATACCGGTAGTTTTTGCCACATAAATTGCACGTATGAGTTCCCTCTTTTGTATGAATTAACACGTGTTTCTTCAAAAGTTCTTTATAACGGTAGTTTTTGCCGCATTTACTGCACTTATATGGACGATTCTCAGAGTGTATCAACAAATGTTTCTTTACATGAGCTATTCGAACAAATCTTTTCTTACATTTCAAACATTTAAAGGGTCGCTCCCTCGTATGTGTTAATATATGGTTTTTCATTTTTATACAACTTTTTTTACATATTGGACACTCATGAGGAAGCTTTAACATTTTAAATTCAGCACTCCCTGACTTTGTTAAACTGATTTGTTAAACTAGCGACTTAATAGGACGACTAACTAATAATTAGTCTTTGCATATCTACATAGTTATACAAATGTTAGTATATATGTTTAGTAGTTGCACATCTCACACACTATCTAGTCTCTTGAGATGCCTTGAGCGATGGGTTGTGTACTTAATCAAATCTCATTATGTACATTACATATTTTACATTGTATTCCAGCGTTGTATTAGCTTTCTTGCGTCAAATCAAGGTTCTCGATATTTCCGGGATAATCTATTGTCACTTCTGAAAAAGATCATACGTTATTAGACTTTTAAGGCGTTTAATTTTTCGTTTAGGTTAAATTATAATTACTACATTACTTGATAATTAATGACATTAAGTATAATATTCAAAGGGCCTAGTTCTTTGGCTCCTACATCACCAACTAATCCCATTATGTTATAATACCCCAACCACAGCAAACCTAGTGAATTTCCCATTTAGGGTATAAGCTATTGCCGTAGGTCTCATGGTAAGACCTATAGACATGGGACTTATTTACTTTTAGTGAATTTCCCATAAGTTATTAGGGAATAAGCTATTACCGTAGTACTCATGGTAACTCTCTTGAAATCTTTGTTAGTTTCATAAAATTTTATCATATCGTATTTACTTAACGTGCAGTGATAATGCCGTCTGCAATAACAATTTATATTTGATTAGTCCGAAGATTACCCGAAATTTGTGTCGAAATGATTTAATATGAAATGAAATACTAAATACGAATTAAAATTGTAACGTTTACAATAATCGTCGTCAAAATGTGCTTATGAATAATTGGGTAGGCCTACGTTTCCATGAGATGTGCTATAGGCTTATTGGTTTGGTCCAGCGATTGCAGCACATAGAGGTGAGTAGAAACAGAAAGTGACACTAAGCAAGTTTAGCAGCACCGTAAACCTCTGTTGCGATCACAACGAAACCGACATTGCAGCAAAATCCATTATCACCCACTGCAGTTGTGATTATTTACTTAAAAATTTACACAACTGTCATTAAGAAGCCGTCAATGAGTGGAAACCTTGTTTGTAAGCTATTGGTGACGATGATTTAAAAATGTAAGTTTCCCAGCCCTATACAACACTGATTCATGGTCTTTTCCCCGTTTTCAAAACTCAAATACAATTTGATACACACAGAATCTCCGGTTCCCGACCTGCATTATGCATATAGTTATTTAATTTAATTTGTGATTACACATTATTACACTTCGGCTTTCATAGGCTGTGATAATAACAACAAAAAAAACTACACGATTCTAAGCAATGTACAGACAAAACTGTAATTTTATTTATATAGATATGGATACCCTGTATATAGATATAGATAGATAGATAGGTAGATCCTTGAGGGGTATGTTTTATCAATGCTACTACACTTTGAAGTGTTGATATAGGCCTAAAGGTATTCTTAATTGCAAAGGAAAAAGTCTAAATATTCAAATAAATGAACTGAATGTATAAATTTACCTTAATTCAAAACTAATAATATCATGTTTCGTTAACTTTACCATAATATTATTATTTACAATAATGTAATTTATTTATTTTACCTTCCAACGGTCAAGAACCAATTTACAATCGGACAGGATGACTTAATCTAACTTAAACATTATATACAAAGCTATTTTTTTTTGCACACAAAAGTTTCTTTTTATCGAATTTTCCATATTGGGAGTAAGCTATTACCGTAGTACTCATGGTAAGACCTGGACCCGGGATCGATTTAATTTTTCGTTTTGAGGTCCCTAGAGGCCAAAAACACAATCCGTTCAAATTTATATATGTATATGTCCGTTAGCGCAATAACTAGAGCGAAAACGATTTTGATGAAATTTGGTACAAACGTGTAAACCTAGGTTTATTTGAAACGCGAACCAGCATAATCGGACCATGGAAACGGGGGTTTATAGAGGGTTTTATGGGGTAAAAATGGGGGTTTCCCATTTTTGACCCTAAAAACAAAAAAATTTTGCAATTTCTTATTCAAACCGTTTTGTAGAGCTTAAAAAATAAATAATTGAGTTTATTGAAGCGCTGTTGTATGCCTAACGGTCACGGAGAAAATTCAAAAATAGTGTAATTTAAAATTCCCATGTTATTCTTATGGAGAAAATGAAAACTGTTGTAGTTTACTTGTTTGTGGATATATATTGATAAAATTTGGCAAATTTATTTATTTCATCTTATACTATTGACGTATGGTCAAAACACACTTTTTACCTTCCCCGTAGCAGCAATCCTAATCACTCGTTAAATCTAAAGTTAATTAAATTGGGAATAAATATGTCTTATTTATAGAAATATTTTAGTAAAAATGTAATCTGAAAAGTTGAAATTCGCTTAGTCTGCAGGTTTGCTGCGGCGGTTTTTTTTTTTAAATGACATGCAGTAAAAGAAATACAATTCGAGCAGTATCAAAAAGGAGAAAACCTGTAGTATTTACCTAATAAATTTGGTAATTTACATCAGGCACAAGCATAGTAAATAGAAATACACAAATTAAAACTATAAATAACAACCAATGAACATGAACAACAAACAAGAATAGTAAGTGAAAATATAATTGAGCGACAATAACAATAAATATATGAGTTTCAACGATACCGGTAACAATAAATATATATAAGTTTCAACAATAACAATAAATATATGAGTTTCAACAATAACAAACATAACAAGATTTGTAAAAAGAGAGAAAAACACATTTGTCTGAAACAAAGATAATGACAATGACTTTGGGTGGTAACTATGATGAGCGGATTGTTTTTTTGCTTTCTGTGAAGATTTCGAAACTGGCTCAGAAGACATTCCCATTTCGAAACGTAATATTTATTAACTCAATTCACGTCCACTAGTGGCTTGTAGGCTATATATACTAGGTGGCGTTCGCAGAGGCATCCACAAAATTGAGCGGAGTCATCAAGGGTTCATATTATATTGTTTTTGTCTTACTGCAGTAAAAACAGTATTTTTTCATGCATGCGCTGCGGGTCTAAAGTAGCATTTTTAATATTTAGGGAGTAAAAATCGTTTTTAGCCTCTATGAAGTAAAAATCAGCTGTTGTCAACTCAGTTGTAAATTTCGATTGTAAACGATTGCATGTATCGAAAATATGTATCGATTTGTGCTTCGTAATCATTTTTAACATATTACAGTCTACAGTCTCTTCCCGTAGCATTTTAGCATTGCAGATACATTAATCCATTCCCAAACTCAACACTGCTCACATTTACTACTTCCTTCACCACACCCTACGTCGTGGACCTGTTTCCCTCTCTTCCCATAGCATTTTAGGATTGCAGATACATTAATGTAATTGCCAAAAACAATTCCCACACTCTGCGCTGTTAACCTTACTACTTCCTTCACCATTTACTACGTCATTGGCCTGTTTCCTTCCTTTCTCATAGCATTTAAGTATTACAAATTCACTTATCCATCTGCTCAAACGGTTCCCCCACTCTGCACTGCCAGCCTTTACTACTTCCTTCACCACTTACGTCGTGGACCTGTATTCATCGCTTTCCATAGCATTTTAGTATTTTAGATACGTTAATCTAATTGCAACAAACATCCCCACTGTCCGTACTGCTAGACTTTACTACTTCTTTCACAATTTCCTATGTCTTGGGCATGCTTCCATCCCTTCTCATAGCATTTCAGCATTGCAGATACATTAAAACTGCTACAAACGGTTTCCAGTTCCCACACTCCACACTGCTCACCTTACTACTTCTTTCACCTGTTCCTACGTCGCGGACCTGTTTCCCTCTCTTCCCATAGCATTTTAAGATTGCAGATACCTGAATCTAATCGTCATAAACAGATCCCACACTCCGAACAGCTCGCCTTTACTACTTCCTTCGCCACTTCCCACATCGCGGACCTGTTTTCCTCCCTTCCCATAGCATTTTAGGATTGCAGATACCCTAATCTAATCGTCATAAACAGTTTCCACACTCCAGACTGTTCACCTTTACTACTTCCTTGACCTCTTCATACGTCACGAACCTCAAGCTAGTGTCGTCATTTGATTATAGTACCTGGGGACCGAGCTTTGCTCGGGGAAAATCATTAGTTCACTCTGAAAGCACCGTAGTATTGGAGATACATAAATCCACACATCTACATCCTACACAATTTCCTACGTCATGGGCCTGTTTCCCTCCATTCCATTGCATTTAAAGATTGCAGATACCTTAATCTAATCGTCATAAACAGTTCCCACACTCCGGACTACTCGCCTTGACTACTTCCTAAACACTTCCTACGTCGCGGACCTGTTTCCCTCCCTTCCCATAGCATTTTAGGATTGCAAATACCTTTATCTAATCGTCATAAACAGTTCCCACACTCCGGACAGCTCACCTTGACTACTTCCTTCATCACTTCCTACGTTGCGGACCTGTTTTCCTCCCTTCCCGTAGCATTTTAGGTTTGCTGATATCATAATCTAATTGTCATAAACATTTCCAACACTCCGGTTAACTCGCCTAGACTACTTCCTTCACCACTTCCTACGTCGCGGAC